AGCACAGCCCCACAGCTGCTGAGGTCAAGGATCTTGCTTTGGAAGATTCTTCTGTTCTTCCCTCAAGCTCAGGGCCTTCCCTCAGGCACCTTATATTTTAAAAATTGCAAAATCAGATTGGACATGTTTGGATTTAGACAAGCTGGAGACAGCCTGGAGGCAGAGCAAAGCACAGAGGTGTCATCATCCTGCTCTGAAGGGGTGTGTGTGCACCCCCAGAGCCCGTGAGGGGATGTTTGTCCAACCCCCCTGCGGTGTGAGCGATATCAGATACTGGCACAGCGTGTTCAGGCTCGTTGGCTCAGACCACGAGGAGCACAGAGAGAGAGAGACAGCTTCTGGCAGGCTGAGCTCACATGATAGGGTCATTGGAAAGACAAGTGATGCTTTCATCAACCTGCCTTTCCCCAGTAGTATCAGCACCAGCTTGAGCAAGGACTGACTCTGTGCTCCTGTAGGGTACCACGCTCTGTGTAGTGCCAAGGTCAAAAGCTTCCTCACAGATACTTTGAACCTGTTTCTCCACCAGTGTCTCAGCCCCCAACTCCCATCCTTCTTGGCCTTGTCAGGTTCCAGTTTTGAGCCATTAAAGGACACTTTTTTGGCAGAGTTACATTCCCTCTGGATCAGTGGCACCTCTCAAGCTGAGGGGAGAGCAGTCTGTAGTTACTGACTATCTGCTGCTTCCCAGCAGTTACAATTTGGGATCTTGTGGTTTTGTCCTTCTCTGTTGAGCAATCCTTTGTTGGGACAGCACATGCTAATTGTTCTGGAGAGCATCAGTCCCAGAAGCTGCCTGGAGCCTGGGCTGACAGGTTGGTAGTAGCAGCCAAGCTCTCACATGGAACCAGTTTGTGGCTCGATAGTTCTGACCATCCCTGACACGGCTCCTTGGAAAGGAAGGGTTGGCTCTTTGTCATCCTTTCACCCGGAGCCTTTTTGCCCCTGGCACCATTAGCAGATGGGCCCAGGAGCAGTGCCTGAGCTAAGCATTGTCCACAGACTGCCCTGGACACTGCCTGGAGCTCTGTGAGAACATCTGAAGGGAGCAGCACTCCCTGGCAGGGCTGACGTGCTCCGGCAGTCGGGGATTACAAACACATGCTCCAGCTATGCAAGAAATCTTTGCCTTGTTCTGAATGCAGCTCTGCCTGGGTTCCTTCCCAGGAACATTCCTGTTCTTCACAATTTACCAGTTGCAGGAAGGGAGAAGGGGGAGGAGGGATTTTAAGAGTAAGGGAGAGGAAAGGGAGCAAATCTTACAGTGCTTTCCCCAGCCAAATTCCTCCAGAAGGACAGGGTGTGGAGCGTGGACTCCAGAGTCTGGCACCATCCCAAGAAAATATGAACTACAAAATCAAACCCACTTTTAATTAGTTATTTGTTTTTATATAAAGAATTAAGGCACTCTTTTTCTGAAGTAGTTCAGTGCCTGCTATCACACAAACCAGGCAGCCCCTGCCAAGTGGTGCTGTGTGATAGGAGGGGCTCTGAGCAGGGACACATTATCTCCTCCAGGAGACAGCAGTGCTGCTCAGATCTGCATCCTGCTTCCTGAGATAAAAGGCCCGTTCCTCAGAGCCACAGCACACGTGAGAGAGTTGCAAATGTAGTTCTTGTAGGTGGCAGTAATTTGATGTCTGAGCTGGAGGTGAATGATGAGCTGGGGCTCTGTCATCACACCTGCTCTGTTACAGACAGGAGGGAAAGCATGAGAGGGTGGGACAGGAGCTGCTGCGGAGGTGCAGGGAACCCAGCTCCTCACAGCTGACTCTCAGGGTGACAAATCCCTTTTCTCATGCCAGCAACAGCAGGGCCCTGCCTGGGGAGGGCAACTGAGGTTTTCTCCTCTCTGTTGGGTGCCCACTGTATCAACCTCTTAGACTTATGGTGCATATAATTCAATCAGATGTACATACAGTACCCACATAAGCTTAGTCACTGCAGGCACCAGGGAGAGGATTATTTTGCTGTATTTGGCTCATACTTCTGCCTTAACCACGGGGGTGGCTTCACTGAAGTTGGTTGTGCTGCATTAGCCCAGAGCAAAGCCCAGCATTTATACATTATTTGCAATAGAGGCATCATCATTTCTCTAATGCTGTGTCCTGAGCATGGCTGAGGTTTGCTCCGGTCTCCCACTAGGAAACAATGAAATGAAGACAGAAAGGAATACTCATCTTTTTCTCTTTTTACATATATATAACTCAGAACTATTAGCAGACTTCTGTTGCCTTGTAGTGCTGTATAGGAGCCTTCCCCTATACTTGCTAAACTAAACAGGAATAATTAGTTGATATTAAGCAGATGCTCAATAAATTTTTCTGTAAGTTGTGCTGTATGTGGTGTCAGGAGGGAGTTCACAGCTTGTGGGGGTCCCCTCCTTCATCTTTTATCCACTGTACACTCTACATTTGTATTGTTAATGGCCCATATGGCTGTGAAGGAAAAGGGTGAATGATTTCACTCTGTCTTGCTTTGATTAATCCCAAATTATGGATCAAGTCACCATTAATGATGGCCCTGGTGATTTATGAAAGGCAATTGTTATTCCTGCTGGTCCTGAACAGTTGGAAACTGTCAGGTGCCATCCTGAGCAGCTGGAGCGTGAGCATCCCTTGGCACTGATGACAAGGTGTGCAGGGATGTGTGAAATGGCCCAGCTCTGCACAGGTGAGCTCAGGGAACACCTGCACAACAGGGACAGGAGCTGCTTTCTGCCAGTCACACATGAATTTATTCGTTTCCCAAGGGTGGAGAGCAGCCTGCCACTGAGTGATCTGAGATTCAAATTACAGATTTTATTGCAGAGCTTAGAAGGCTGCAAAAAGAGAAGCAAGGAACTCACAAGAATTATGTGTCTGACACTTTGAAAGCTTCTGAAGTGAGCCTGAAAAAAGAGGGAGAAAACCAAAGTGATGAGGAGAACAGCAACTCTGGATCTGAGCAAGAGCTTCGAGGAGTCACAGGGCCATGAGGAGAGCCCTGTCCTAGTTTGTGTGGAGACCCCAACCAAGAATCAAGTTTTGATTCTTTATCACAAAGGCATCAACTCTGTTGTGCCCTGGGAAGGAGCTTGCATGGATGTGAAGGCCAGATGGTGCCCAGCATCATCCCAGCCCCTTGGATTGAATGAAAGACTTCCTCAGTTCTGGTGCCCTCTACACCGACATAAGTCAGGGGTAGGAGAATTTCCTCCTCAAGTTCAGGGCATGTCTGACCCTTATGTTGGTTGAATGTAGATAATGGCTGAACCATTGAGCTCTCAGACAGACTCCACTTCTTTGGGGCTTTGCAGCTCTCACAGTCTATCAGCTAACAACAAAAATATTCCAATTATTTGGAATGATGACATCATCCACACAATTGACCCAGAGCCAAGAATAGCACTCCTACAAAACAGTTATTTCTTGTTAAGCACTATCAAGGACAAGTAAGCCCAGACTTAGCTCCCTCAGCAAAGCCTGGTTGTTTCCCCCATGTTTCCAGATCACCTCAGCAGTTGTGTTTTCCAGTTTTGAGCAGCTTACCCTGAATGACCTGGATTTGTTTGACAAAATGTTATCAATACTTGTAACTTTTGAACTTGGAATAGTCACAGGGAGGCTGTAAGTGGCTCAGGGAAGGAGTTTTGGCACATCTCATCTAGTCCCCTCACTTGCAGAGCCCTCTCTAGCACACTAAATCCATATCTGTTGGGTCAGAAAGCTGTGTGAGCTGGCTGAGCCTCAGAGTTATCTGCTCATGGCACAGACTGGCCCAGGGATGGAGGGGAGGGAATCCTAATCCCTGCTTGGTGATGGGGTGCTGGCTCAGCCCCAACCCTGCCTGGCCGGTCTTCCACCCCACTTCCAGCCCTGCCGAAATCCCTCAGCCCACAGAGGTGTGTGGGCAGGTGAGGGTTGTGAGGGAGCAATGGCTGCTGCTTGAAAAACCAAGGGTGATGCAGGGACAGGTGTGTGACATGGACCAGTGCTGTGACACCTGACCCGGGGCTGTTCAGGTGTGTGACATCCCCCAGGGCAGTGACACCACACCCAGGGCTGTTTGGGTGTGTGACGTTCCTCCTTGTACAGGTATGTGATGTGTCCCCCTGTACAGGTGTGTGACATGTCCCCTGTACAGGTGTGTGACGTGTCCCCTGTACAGGTGTATGACATTCCCCCTGTACAGGTGTGTGACATGTCCCCTGTACAGGTGTGTGACATTCCCCCTGTACAGGTGTGTGACGTGTCCCCTGTACAGGTGTGTGACGTGTCCCCTGTACAGGTGTGTGACGTGTCCCCTGTACAGGTGTGTGACGTGTCCCCTGTACAAGTGTGTGACATTCCCCCTGTACAGGTGTGTGACATGTCCCCCTGTACCGGTGTGTGACATTCCCCCTGTACAGGTGTGTAACATGTCCCCTGTACCGGTGTGTGACATTCCCCCTGTACCGGTGTGTGACATGTCCCCTGTACAAGTGTGTGACGTGCCCCGGGCTCGGTCCCCTCCCGGCCCGGCCCCTTTAAGTGAGGCCCCGCCTTCCGCCGCGCTAGCGCTCCCTCCGCCTTTCCCCGCTGCCCATTGGCCGGGCGGCGCTGGGGCCCCGCCCCTCGGCGCCGCCAGCCAATGGGAGGAGCGCTGGGTGAGCCCGTGGCCAGGTCGGTGAGAGGCCGATGGCGGCGGGTCCGTGAGGGGGGCGCGGGGCCGGGGGAGAGGGGCGGGAGCGGGGACACCCTGAGGGGAGCGGGGACACCCTGAGGGGACCGGGACTCCCCTTAAATGCTGAGGGGAGCAGAGTCCTCTGAGGGGTGCGGGGACCCTTGAAGTGCGGAGGGGAGCCGGGCACTCTGAGGGGATGGGGAGGATCGGGGACCCCTGAGGGGATTGGGACACCCCTGAGGGGATGGGGGGGATTGGGGTCCCTTGAAGGGCTGAGGGTATCGGGACCCCCTGAAGTGCTGAGCGGGTCGGGGTCCCCTGAGGTGCTGGGGGAGCTCGGGACCCCCGAGGGGCTCGTGGAAGAGTTTGTCCCTCCCTGGAGAGGGCGGTGTGTGGGGGGAGGCCGAGGTGTGCGGTCCTGGATCACCCGGCACAGCCGAGCCCCAGCTGTGGGTGCCCTGCCCGGTGCTAATTAATGCCATTAAATGGTCGTGGTTTCACCTGAAGAATCCATTAGGGGTAGGGGGAGAATATTAAGGTCAATGGGGTTCCATGAGAATGCGAGGTTTCCTTATCTGTACCCAGCTCTGAGAACAAATTGTTTGTGGAGCTGAGGATTGAAGAAAACAAAAAATAACAACTTGCAGCTGCAGGCTGAGCAATAATTAAAATGCTTGGGCAGGTTCTTGTCTTTATGCAGCAAAATGGCCTTGTCAGTCAGGTTGAAGTTAAGTGTAGCTTGAGCTGTCCTTATTTAAAAAAAAAAAAGTATACTTCCAAGAAATTAAAATGTGGGTTCTCAAAGTGTAGACAACTAAGGACTTCAGGAAAAGTGACTTAAAGGATAATTTAGTTGAGTGTTTTGGTAGGAGATCTGATATGTTCCTTGGATTTTTTTGACCATAATTAAAGACACTTCGCTCAAAGTGACTCTCTTGCTTTTTAAATGAAATTGTAGGAAGTGTCTTTTAAAATGTGCGAAGTGGTTTTATGAGGTGTTTTGTCCACAGGTAGACAAAAAAAGAAAAGGTTGGGAAATAATTTACTATAATAATAAAAAAATTATATACTACTACTGTGATAATAATAATAAATAATCTACTATAATAATATATTGCTACAGTTTGTACATAACTTTTTTGATATTACTGTTAGAATGGCACTTTTACCCTTGGACAGAGGAAAGGATTGTGTGTTCACACACTGCTGTGCTTTTTGTCCATCCTCTGAATCTCACATGCTGAGAACTGAACACTGGTACTGAGGGAATTAAAAACGTCTGGTTTTTGTTCCAGGTGCTGGTGTGGAAGATGAGGCTGAATGAGAGCCGGACAAGATCCTTCCAGGCTGCTGTCACGGTCCACAAATACCCGGGCAGGCAGGTCTATGTGTTTCCTGATGGCCCATCCGACTCGGAGGAGTCCTCGGAGGAGGAGGAGCTCAACGTCATGGAATTGCGGCCCAGGGGGAAGGAGCAGCAGCGGGGCAGCACTTCCCGGGACAGGCCTGGAGATGTGGTGCTTCTGGAGCGGGAGCTCACGGAGGGTGACAGCCTGAACAAGCTGGCCCTGCAGTACGGCTGTAAAGTAAGAGCCTTCTCTGGGGGGGTTATCACTTCAGAGGTATTCCATGTGCACCTTAACTTTCCAGAGCTGTCCCGGTACCTGAGAGTTTTGATGCTGAAAATACACTGTGTTTTTCATGAATGGTCAATATCTGGGTGAAACTGGAGAAAGGCAAAAAAAATCCCAGACAGACACAAAAAAAGAGTTGTTCAGCCAACAGCTGAGGAGGGTGTCGTCAGCCTCACACCCTGCCTGACCTGCTTTCCTGTTTAATTTGAGTGACTAAGTGCAGGTTGTACTAACTCATTTAACTGAGGGCAAACATTAGGAAGCTGAGCTCAGAAATGAGGGTCAGGGCTCTGCTCTCAAGGAACATTTAAGAGTTTTTGCAGCAAATAAAGCAGTACAAAGAAACACCACTGTGATAGGTCTGGCTTGGGGTGGGATTTGGGGTTGTTCTTTGAAAGGTATCAGTTTACATGTTGCAAGGAAGGTCTGAGTGTAAGGGGTGGAGTTGGAGAGGTGCCAAAGTTCAGGTCCCAGAGTCCAGGTGCTGTCTGTGTGTGGGTTTTGATTGTTTGCTGTCATGCCCAAAGTGTGCTCCATCAGCTGTGTGGGGGCAGGAGGGAGGGGTGGGCAGGGTGAGCTGTCTCCTCACAGAGAGTTGGAACACTCTGCACAGTATCTTCTCTTTGTTCCAAAGCAGGGCACTTCATAGAAAAACTGTTGAAAAGTTTAATTACCTCCTCTGAAGATGAGAAGCCCCCCGTTGTTTAGCAGTTGGAGCTGTATTTTTAGAGCCTCCTTTATCCGCAGGCTGGGCTGTGATCAGAAAGTTCCATGGTGCAGACAATTGGACAGGGACCGGAGTGGGATAATGATACGGCTCTGGCTCTGCTGCTGCACTGCTGTTGCAGTTGGCCTTGCTTAACCACACAGCAGCTGTTGGTGCAGCTGAGGCAAGAGGGCTTAGAGGGATTGCAACAATTCCTCCCCTCCCATTCCCTTAGAGACAAACACAAAACAAAAAAGGCACCCAGGTAGGTTCTGCTGCGGGGCCTGGTGTGTGCGGAGAAGAGCCTGGGAGGACTTGAATCAGCTTTGATTGGTACCAGGAGAGCCCAGGAAGGCAGAGCTGCAGCTTTGGTTGGCTCTGGAGCTGTGACTGAGCACTCCTCTCACAGCAGCAGTTGTGTCACTGCCGCTTGGGCACAATCACAGCAGTTTGTGAGCTCAGAGGAGGAAGGTTCTGAACAGCTCTTTGGTTTATGGCACGAAAAGTCCTGCTGTGCTCTCTGGCACTGTAACTCTGAGGAGTCAGTCCTGTCCCTGCTGTGGCTGCTCATCTACCTCTGCTGCCCCATTCCTGCCCCACTTGAAGGCTGCTGGGCCCGTCCAGGGGGAAAGCTGGTAGGGAGGGACCAGGTAGTCAAGCGTTCTCCTCCCTCAGGAAAAAAACTGTCCTGCTGCCTCCCTTCCTTCCAGAAAGGGCATTCCTGACTAGTTCCAGTTAAATTGGAGAGGTACAGAAATCTTTATCATAGGAGATTTGTGTATTTGTCTGTTTACAGGCACTGATCAGTTTTCCTGCGTTTTGTTTTGTTTGCACAGTTAACCAGCTCCTGAAAGGCCCCCAGGACAGCAGTGAGGAAGAACTGTAGCCACAAATACATATGCAAATGAGTTTAAAAAATCCAGGACGAGCTTCTCCTTGAAATCAATGAGAACTTGACATTGGTTTCAGAATCTGCTTGGGGAGGGGGTATTAAGACAGTGCAACAAATAGCTCTGTGTGTGTGTGCCACAGATAACTTGGCAGAGATGGAAAGCCCTTTAAAATCCTCATTTTTACTCTTGACCATTTATAGTCCTGGCTTGCTTTTGGCATTGTTCATAGCTGGGACAAGAGCAACAAACTGCAGCCAAAAAATGAGTACAGAAAATAAGCCTAAATGGCTTGTGCAGCCCAGGCTCTCAAACGCTTCCCATCAGCTCTGTTTGTTGTTTCTGTGTGAGTGCTGCTCCACTTTCTGTTTCTAGAGCCTCAGCACAGCACTGCAATGTTTGATTGCAGACACCACGGGGGATATTTACTGTCCCACTAATTTGTTTTCATTGGAACAAACCCAGAAATTGAAGCAGCACCTCAGTTCGGAGGCTTTGGGTGAGATTGTTGTTTCATAACTAAGTTGTGCAGGGTTTAAGTGCAGAGGTTACACTGGGGCAGCCTGTGAGGAGCCTGAACCAGCAAAGGGCAATTCCTTTTGCCTCGGGGGCCCCAGATCAGGACCTGCATTAAATGGGCTGTTTTCAGAGTTCTCAAGCTTTGCAGAGTAAGCATGAGATTGAGGCATCCATCTCATCTCTGCCTTGGAGCAGAGTGCTTGGGAAGTGAAGTGCTGGTTTTGTTTTAGCTCCCCAGTTTCCTTGGCAGCCTCAAGTGAGTGCCCAGTGAATGCAGGTCATACTGTGATTTCTGAAAGAGCAAGGCACAGTCCCTGCACTGTGGCTCCTTGGTGTGATGTAGCAGAGGTGGTTTAGCTGTTTATGTTGTCTTTCTCTTTGGCTTGGGGTCTTGCTGATTTGTTTTGTGTCCTCAGCCTTTCCCTCAAGGTTCTTTCACATCTCCTTGGCTGCTGTGGAGAGCACCTTGCACACGTTGACATCCTGTTTGTCGTCTTTGACAGAGGGTTTAGGGCAGCTGAGAAGTTGCTGCACTTCCTGGGGGCTGTGAGCAGGCACTGTCTTAATTAAGCATCTTCTTTTATCTAATGTTAAATTAAGAGGCGCTGTCTTGCCTTTGTCTTTGCTTTGGGACTGGCCCTGTGACTGGCTGTGCACGTGTGGCTCGTTCTTTCTTGCTCTTCCCACTGCTGGGTGGGAATATGGGTCACAGAGGGGAACTCTGCACAGGAACCACCAAAGGTCACCTCAGGGCACAGGGGTGTTGCCCCTCAGCAGGAGCACTGAGCAGCTGTGCAGGAATGAGCTGGATCAGCTGCTGTCCTGCACAGGAGAGGTGGTACCTGGGCACAGGATGCTTGTGCTGGTGTGGGAGACGCTCACCTGTGCTCCAGGTGTGACCTTGCTTTCAGAGATGGAGCTCTCTTCACTCTGAAAGCACTTTCTGAGCTGGAGGGTTTGACTGCTGGTGCTGATGTTGTCCTCTCACCTTAAATATTGGTGTGTAAAGTATGAAAACTGTTTTAAAAAGGATCTGTTACAAAGACTCTTCTTGCCTTAACTTGGATTAGAAGGTAAGTGAGGGAAGGCAAACAAAGCAAAGGGAAGGAAGAACAGTAACAAGCAAAGTACAGCAGATACAAGAGCACTAGAGGAGGGTATAGACTGGTTTAACAGGGGACTGGCTTTATCCTGCAGGACCTGGAGCTCCCTCAGCTGTGAATCTCTGCAGAACCCCAAGCCAGTTGCTTTTATTCTCTGACAGCTGTTCGATGGCTCTGGAGCTGCTTCCCACTTTGTTCCCGGGTTGTCCTACACTAACGTCGGTGTCCTTTGGGTTCTGTAGGTCGCCGACATCAAACGGGTCAACAACTTCATCCGGGAGCAGGACCTGTACGCGCTGAAGTCCATCAAGATCCCGGTGAAGGCGCACGGGCTGCTCACGGAGAGCAGGCGGGAGCTGCGGCCGCTCCCTCTGGCCCAGCCCGGGCTGACCCGCGTGGAGCTGCCGGAGCCCGACCCCGGCACGGGCGGATCCACCAACGGCCAAAACCTCAGCGACTACTTCAGGGACATCGACCAGAGCATCCAGGACGCCGTGCACGTGGAGGTGCAGCTGAACACAGAGTACTGTGGGGAGCCGCTGGAGAGGCCTCTGCCCGAGCCAGGGAAGCGGGACACCGGGAACGGTGCGGACTGCGGGATCCAGTGGTGGAACGCCGTGTTTATCATGCTCCTGATAGGAATTGTGCTGCCAGTATTTTATATCATCTATTTTAAAACACAAGGCCTGGTGGCCCACACCTCCAACACAACAGTAACCTCAAATGTTTCAACAGCTGGATTGGAAGGGAAATTACCGCAAAGCTCAGTGGTAGGAAAAAAGTCCTAAGGGGAAACAGGAGACCCCTCCAGTCTCTCCAGCAGTGGTGCCCACACTCTCGTGACTGACCCAAGTGCATCTAAGGGGATATAATGATACAGATAATTTTTATTTTTATAAGTAGCTGATGATGGAATCCTGAACTTGACTGAAAGTGAGGTGATGTGATTGTGATGGAAAAATAAGGATGATTTGTTGCTTATGAAGGTCACTTAGCAGGTGGGTTAAGAGTGGGGAACTCTGTTGAGGGGAAGGTACTTTGTAGCAATTTATTGTGATTGCTTCAGGTATTTCTTAGTGCCGTGTCTGGAAGCAAATCCTTTGCTGCTGAGCTAGAGAGTGCAGTATTAATGTGCTTGGAAAGTTGGGGGTTGTTTGTATTTTAAAGAAACACTCTTTGCTGGAGCAGAAGGGGGGGCTCTTTCACTCAGAGCTGTCATTTTTATTTCTTGCAGATCATGGTGGTTTTGGCTTAACCCTAAACTGATGGCTCTAAGCTGGGTGTGCCAGCCCCTCATCATCCTCCTCCTGAGCAAACCTTTGAGCTGGGTTTATTAGGTTGATGTCAAGCCCCTCCCCTGGATAAGCCCAGATCTCTCCCCTCCATGAAATCCTTCAGAGATGGGATCTCGGTGCAGGACCCGCGCTGTCCCCAGGGTGCAGCCAGAGCCAGCCCTGCCACTGCAGGTGGGCAGAGGGTGTTGGAGGAGGATGTGAGAGCAGGGAGAGGAGTTGTACACTCCTCTCAAGGGCTCTTTTGTTGGCAGGGGGGTCTAGTCAGTATTACTTGTTAAAAATACTAATAATAGTCTATAATGGTGCATCTCAGACACCCATGTCAGTCACAGACTTGATTTCCCTGTGTGCAGATTTCATGGGAGCAAAGCGCCGAGTCCCATGCAGGGTGCAAGGTCCAGGGCAGAAGTCCAAGGCACAGAAAGAAGGGTAAAGCCTTTCTAGGACAGGACTGAGCTAATTGTGAAGCGTTCTGTGACCTGCAGACATGCATTAAAAAGCTGCTGAGGGTGTAGGGAAGAGTGGGGGAGCTTTGGAGGGCAGAGGGCTGTGCTCTTCAGGGTGAGACACTGAACACTGCCTGCTGGGAGGAGCAGCAAGGGAGGCTTTGGGAGCTTTGCTGCAGAGCAGAATTGGCCTCAGAAATTGGAGTCATCAATTCCAGGCCTGCAGGCAGAGGTAATTCCAGGCCTTCCTGGAACCAAACACTAAGGGATTTCCACCCCACACAAGCAGAACTGTGTGATGTTACAATGACAACCTGTGTTTCCTGCAGCTCTCAAAAAAAGTGCTCAGGAAAGCCTGAGGGAACCTAATTTTGTAAATGAGGACTGTAAAGTATCTTATACTGAACAAAAACTTGTATTTTTCTTCTGTGAAGAGCTCTATCTCTTTGTTCTGGGGGCGGGGGGGATTTCTTACATTTTTAAATAAAGCCACATGAAATAATAAAAGCACAAGGGGCACAACTTGTGCTTTTTTTTTGTTCCCACACTGCACTGTGCCGAACACCTGCCCCAGGACAGACTGCAGGAACCAGGAGTGGGAGCAGCAGAAGGAAACGTGAGTGTCCCGAGGGGCAGGAGGATGGGCTGGAGCCAGGTTTTTCTTTTTGTTATAATGTTCTTACCAAGCATTAACTTTTTGACTTGAGTGTAGTAACAAGTGTGTGTATATATCCCCCAAAAAATCCCTGTTGATTAAAATCCTCTTCACTGCAGTTTAAAAGCACAACCTGATGACTGAAGTGGACACCTGGAGGGGGCACAGACACGCCAGACAGGACCACGTGCTCTGCAAACACGAGAGAGGCCGGAGTACACAGTAAAAGCCAGTATCTTTACTTTAGTGAATGCAGGATACAAATATTTTACAACAACCTCTAGCATTTTTTCTTAACCATTTGATAAAAAGTTCACTAGAATATTTATTGTATATTGAAGAAAAAACAACACATTCAGGGAAAAAAATTGAGATTAACTTATTTTTTTTTTTCTTAAAAGATTCGTCTCAAGGATGGCAACAAAGTCCAGCTTGTGCCGCCAAACGGCTTATCAGCATTAAACCGTGAACAGCTTCTTTGTGAACTGTTGACTACAAACATTTACCAAATACATAAATCTCTTTTAAAAAAGCCATTTTAAATATAGCAAAGCAGTGTTTCTCTTGCACAGCAAAGTGAAGAAAGGTTCTACTAAGATTTAAATGTTTACACTGGTTAAGTCTTTCTTTCACATTCGGATTTCACTTCTGCCCAGGATCAATTGTTAGGAGTTGTTTTGTTCCTTATTTACTATGTATTTCTTGTGCGCACAGTAACTCGGAGTTCCTGCTGCATTAGTGTCCTTGAGGGGAGGGCAAGGCTAAAGCAGTTCTGACGAGTCCCTGACAACGTGGCGTTCCCAAAACTACCGTGAGAGCTCGAGGATGGAGGTGATTTGTCACAACAGAGCTAAAAATCTTAAATCACTCAGACCTGACTGGGTTCAGCCCAGGGTTGGATCCACTTGCACTTCAGTCAGCAGAGAGAGAATTTTAAAAAAGTATTACTATCTTTTTTTTTCACCTGTTGAAATATCTGTGCTATGTCATAATTATTTTTTTTTTTATAAAACATTTTTTTTACAATTTCTAAAAAAGTATGTTCCAAAGTGAGTTACTTGTTACTAAAAACCAGGATTCCCATTTCCTCGATGGCAGGAGCTGCTCCCCAAGACGGGAGGGCTGTGGAAGGACATTTGTGCCGTGGCTGGGGCAGCACAGGGCCAGTCCCCAGCCCAGCTCTTTAGAACTGATTCTTTAATACTCTTTTTTAATTCATTGGTGCAATTTCAATACAAACTCTAACCCTTGTGTAGCTTTGTCTTTAAGAAAACAGTAATAGTACTGTTTAAAAACCTGCATAGAAATAAAGACTATTGAGATACAGTCAGCAAAGCCATCTGATAAGGCACACAAGAAAATAGACAGTAAATGTGAATGCAGAACTCCCACTCGGATGTACAGCAAAGGTCATACAGGTGCATAAATCATGGAACTCACACCACTGGTCGGAGCAGCAAAAGGTGCAGGGGCTGGCAAGTGAATTTGGTCACTGGGGAGCACAATGGCCTGGGGAACGAGTCCCCTTTGCCTTCATGCCCTGTCAGCCAGTACCATCCCAAACTAATGGGATCCAGGTCCAAGGAAGGGGCGGGAAGGGACTGGAGCCTGTGCGGGTTTCCCGCTGCCACAACAGGGGATGGGCCGGAGGCCGCAGGTACCTCCTGCTCCCCCTCTCCCAGCTCCTGTCACAGCATGGGGGGACTTGGAATTACACTGAAATAAAGCCCAAGCAAAAGTTTAATAAATATCAGGGATAACCACGAAGTTTGGATAATCCCCCTGCAGTTTCCTCCCCAGCACTGCCAGCCTGTCAGTGACTGGGACAGGCGGGATCACGGCCCCAACTCCAACACCAAACCTGCCCCCAGCCCGGGCTCACAGCACAAGGGGGCTCTGGATCCCTCCTTCTATTTCTTGGAAGCAGCAAATTTTTCCCAAACCACTTGCCAACTCCCAAAACCTTTTGTGCTCCTCTGATATGTGTCATTTCCCTATCATGAGAAATTAGGTCAAGTTTTTCCACTGTTTTTTTTTTTCTCCCTCCTCAGAAGAGGCAGCTTTAAAATGATGCCTTAAAATGTGTTGTAACAGATTTTTTATATTTATGCAGGATGAACTTAACACCGGATTTTTTTTTTTTTTTGCCACTTTGCTATTTATATACATATATATAAAATGTATAATGAAGCTTAACCATACAGCACAGAGATTACAACTGAACGGCACACATTCACCACCAGTGAGGGGGCCAACCCCTTTATACACCCTCTGAAAAATCTGGATAATAATATTAATAATAATTAAAATCCAAAGAAAGTACAGTATATTTAACAAAATAGTAAATATTAAACAGTGAATACTCTACTTAATAAGGACCTCGCCTTGTTTCAAGTTGGCGTCAATCCACAAAAATATACTTTTTAATCTGGTGACCGTACAATACATAGGTACTTACACCAAAGGTGATAATATATTTAGGATGCTATATACACAAAGAGTTTGGCTCAAATTTAAATTTACATATAAGTGTTCATGGCTTATTTTTCCCCCAAGGTTCCGCCTGCAAGTTTTTCCTTTTCATCTTTGAAAGCAAAAACTAGAAAGTCAAAATAAGATAAAACTATACTCTACAAAAAAGCTACAACATACAGCTTTGGCTTATATAAATAATTCATAGCAGAATGTGTTCAAAAGTACTGTATATAACTTTATATATAGTCTTCAATTCATTAGGGTATTGTTTTCTTTAATATAAAATATACATGAGCTAAAATCCGTTTCTATATTTTTCAAAGGTATGAACGTAAAAACAAATTTGTCAAACATATTCCAATTATAACTTAATATATTAATTTTATTTTGTTAATGTTCTATTTTCTAGGCTAATATTTTCTGAATATTTCATGCGAGTTCTCTATGTCTTTCACTCATTAAAAAAATCACTTCTTTGACCCAATACACTATTTTTTTAATTTTTTTTTGCACGTGCAAAACAGGGTTTTTGTTTTTTATGGTTTTTTTATTTCTTATAGCATCAGCCCTTCTCCATGCACCCTCTGCAATAGAGACCCATGCCAGGTTGGGTAATAAAAGGTCAGTTTATGTACAGTATTGCTTTCTTCTTCCTGCTTTTCTACTGCTCTGCTGCTACAAAGCAATTATTTCTTAACTACGAGTAACCATGAGCTGAACTAACACACAGGGACGTACTACAGGCGAGCCCTGGGCTGTGGAGGAGGAGGAGACACTGCGGGGACAACGCTCTGCCAACGGCTGGGGCCAAACACAACTCCAGGGAAGTGCCAGACTAGATCAAACCTACGGGATTGTTCTGCTTTACCAGGGGACATCTGCAGCTATACACGAGTTTGTCGTAAGTGCCTGATGATCGGTGTATGCTACACACACTAGCACATATATATGCATGTGGAGATATATATATGCACGTATGTATATACATATAAATATACTTAGTCACGTCCTTATTTATAAATGTGGATATGTCAGGACAGTTCGTGCTGGGGACACCGGGCTGGCGGGGCGGCCCCGCGGGTTTATGTCACCCACGTGTCCATCCTCATCCGTTTTACCGACGGGCTCTCCCGGTCCTCGGCGTTGGGCGGCCGCCCCAGCACCACGGGCGAGTGGAAGTCGCTCCGGGGATCTTCCCGGTCGCTGCCGTCGTAGGAGCTGCTGGAGCTGCTCAGGCTGTCGACCGGGGAGCGCCCCAGCTCCTGCCGCGACGGCGGCGGCGCCGGCGGCTGCTGCGGCTGCTGCGGAGGGAACCCCGAGGGGGTGACGCGGTCCCGGGGAGGGGAGATGGGTTCAGACTTGATGTTGATGTTTTGGTTGGTGTTGATGGAGAGATTGGAACCCTGAGATATCTGGCTGCCAGTGCTGGGGAGAGAGCATCGAAAGGCACAAGTGAGGAAACGCGGAACACGGAAGGAAAGCGACAATTCCCGTGTGTCTGAGGGGGCTCTTGGGGCTCAGCACCCTCCAAATGCACCTCACTGAAGTCAGAACAACGCTGAAAAAAAAGGTCTGAGCTGCATTTACAGAAGTTCAGAATGCACAGAGGTATTTCCCACTGCCAAACATTCCAGTTCACCAGCAGGTGCCTCCCTGGTAAGAAGCTGGGCCTGCAGGGACACCTCAGCCGAGGCCTGAGGTGACCAAAGGGACAAACACCCCGACACGGGAAGGTTTGGCAGCACAGATAAGAAGGTAAAATGGGTCAGATGAACATCCCTGGTGCAGGTGGAAGAGGCAGAAGCCCCCCAGGGCCACAGTACTTACACAAGGGAGCTGAGGGCCGCGGGACCGAGGTGGTGCTGCTGCCAGGCAGACACCTGCCCCAAGGACAGCATTCCTGGGGAGTTAAACCCCTGCAGGGCAGACAGGTCTGCACTGGTCAAGGAGTAATCTAAGGGAAAACAAACAAGAGTGATTTATAGATTTATATATACACACACATGAATAAATACACAAGAGTTTATGTGTTACACACACGTGCAAAGGCTTTCTGCCCAAAACAAATAAAGGCAATTCCTGATCCACAGGAATCCAAACATGGAAACTGAAGTCTGGGAGAAATCCTCCCAACCTCACAGGGAGTTTAACAGGACAGAAGCCTCCAAATGACAAGCTTTTCTGCACTCTGCTTTCAGCTCCTACATGTTGCTCAGAGCTTCTTCCAAACCACGGGTACAACATATGAATGCATTTTATATATCTAGGTGTGCACCTCACAGTAACACTGGTCACACTCTGAAGGGTTTTGTCTGCAGGGACATTTCAATATGAAACTCTGGGAAGGCAGGACAGGAGCCGGGTGCCCAAGGGACAGCAGGGCCAAAGGCAC